ACAAAATGTCTAATCAACCAAAACTTTCGCGACCCCCATGCAGTACCTCTGTGGACCCCCTAGGGGTCGCGGACCCCTGTTAAAGACCTCCGATCCAATATATACATGTTAAAACAGCAACAGGAAATCTTCATGCAAAAACAAACAGAAGCAAAAGAAGGCGATCTAAAATGTATTTACATTACTTCACATTTGAGCCTGAAACTGTATTTTCATTAAGTGATATTCAAAAAAAGCAGTTGTCTAGTTTTATGCTGTAGTGCATGTTGATACAGGAGAGCCTCCATGTATCTGAGTAACCCGGGATTCCAACCATAAGGGCTCAACCTGAATACATAGTAAACTGAGCAAAGATCCAGACCATGCATACATAATATCCAGTCAGTTGTTACAAATGTGATTTTATAACTAGTGTTACGCCGCTGCCATTTTTTTGGCCCCGATACCGATACCTGATACCTGGCTGTGCAGTATCGGCCGATACCATCTGTTTGAAATTAATGTGTGTGTGTGTCTATATGAAGAACTGCATACTACTTGGATGTTAAATAATTGCCATCATGGCTTTGTCAAGCTGCTGCCTACCTTTGTGAAGCAGGAAAAAGACTAATACAAAGTGAATCCAGTAGATTGTTTTTATTGCCTACCTGGAATGGGTGACAATAGTTGAATAAACTTTTGCCTCTCAAAATGGTATCAATGCCCTATTTGTTGGTACTTGCCAAATACTGATACCACCATTTTAGTGCTGGATCGGGTCCCCGCCCAATACTGGTATCGGTATCGGTGCAACACTAATTATAAAAGCAACTTTAAGCTTTATCCAGAGTGAAATATGTTCTGAGGAGTTAAAAGATGTTATGGTGTCTCTAGTGAACCATGGAGCTGCTCAGCTGTCCTGCTCCAGTGGTGATTCAGGACTCTCATCTGACGGGCTGGGAGGTGAAAGGATCCGGAGGGTTCGGACAGGTCTACAAAGCCCGGCACCAGCAGTGGTGCTGCGATGTGGCAATTAAAGTGCTTCATTATGACAATGGGTGAGTAGTGAAAGAGTGGCTGTTTAGGGGAGGAGTTAAAGAACATGCTGATGGGTTAAACCTGCGACCACAGGACCAGCCAGGCTTTGCTGAGGGAATTGGCCATGATGCGTCAGGGAGCCAACCCTTATGTCATACACGTCCATGGGATTTTTCAGGGTCGATTGCCTTCTTCTGGACCAACAACACAGCTGGGGTTGGTCATGGAGTTCATGGAGAGAGGATGTCTGACCAACCTTCAGGTAACCAACTGGGCCCCATTAAACAATCTCAAACCGCTTTAAATGTTTTACCATAAAGTTTGATATCATCACACATTATATCTCTTACTGTGGTTGAGTTGTTCGATTTTAGACAGTCTGTTTCAATGCTTTCACAAAACTTTGATTGGGTTTAGCACTCAAGTTGAGATGGAAAGCTGCTGTGGTTAAGGCTGAGAGCAGAAATGAGGTCAACCAGGTAAAAGAAAAAAATGTGTTAGTGCAACACATCCGGTCTGTGTCATCTGAAGATGCTAGTATTTGGCACTGCTTTGCTCAGACAGCTTAAAGTAAGAAAAGGAGCTAAAAGAGTATAAAATATACACAGAAAAAAATAATCCAAAAGCTTTTGGCATTTACTTAATCATATTTAGTTACTTTAACACAATTGTTATATGTCCTACCCTGCTAACATGAAACAATTTTGTTAAAGTTACTAAATATGATTAAGTAAATGCATTTTGCAATTTTTTTTTTTTTTGTGTACAACACAGTTATTGCATTACTGTTCAAAATCTCTTTTATCAGAAGACTTTACAAGGACCTCCACCCTGGCCGCTGGCTTTCAGACTGACTCACCAGGTGGCTCTGGGTATAAACTTCCTACACAGTCTGTCACCTGCTGTGCTGCACTTAGACCTGAAGCCAAGCAACGTACTGCTGGACTTCAATTTGAACGCCAAGGTGAGTCTGGTGATTCTGGCTGGAGCTCCACACATTTAAATGCTCATAAGAATGTGATAAAAAAAAAAATAAAAATCTCCTACCTTCTAACTCCAAACTAGCAGGTTATCATGGTTCGCACCCATTTGTTCTTGTGGAGGACACTCTATATTAAAAACCAGCTCCTTCGATAAGTTTATTAAGTTCTTGAAATGCTCTAATGGTGTTATGGTTACAGCATCTAGAAATATGTTTGGAAAACCAGAGTAAGGCTTTCAAACCCAAGAGCGCTGCAGCAAATGTAAAGCATGGTGGTGGTAGCATCATGTTTTAAAGCTGTTTCACTGGCTGACCTATCAGTATATCAGGGATAGATCAACAAAAAAGGAAAATTAAATGCATTGTTTTATACTGAATGGATTAGAGCAGAGTTAGAATACCCAAAATGTGTGCAACTAATTCTTATTCTTACATTCTTTGAAGTTGCTTGTTCAGTAGTCCCCTGGACAAAGAATGGTTAATATTACATTTATGCTGATGTTAGTTTAAACAGACTTTTTATCTGTGCTGTCAATGTATAAGATATATTATTTAGTTCTAAAAGTTGTTAACAATGTTTTCTTACAAATTCCACGGCAGGTTAAGGAGAAAAAAAGGGGCTTTAGGAAATCCAATTGGCTTTTTTTGTTTTGTTTCCTGCAGCCCATCACTCTGTAGAATCTGTCCTCTAGATCACTGTTTCCCAACCTTTTCTGTACCCCTCTCAGTCAAAAGAATTGATGATTGTTGAAAAGTGGAAAGTACAACTGATTGTGAAATAAAGCTATTTTACTTAATCTTTTAATTTGAGCATTTAAGTCTAGGGCATTTTATTTTTTTCAATCTCAAGTAAAAACAAAAAATAAAAAACAACATAAATACGTTGCCTGGAAGTTGTCGAAATAAATGCAAAATAAAATCATATTATAAACCTCTATTTATAAAAGTGGAGCTTCTCTGAGAAACTCCCTTATACTCAAATTTAGACCTGATAAAATGGGAACAAAACACTGAACAGAAATTATAGTCAATCTGACTTAATTAGTTTTATTTTGTTTTTATCAAGACAGCTGAGCTGCTTTGATGAGCTCCGATAGCTCAGTGTGAAAAACAGCAGATCCCAGGCTGTTCTCTACATCCAGTCTGTTTCTCTGCTTGGTTTGGATGTTTGTCAAAGCTGAAGGTGAACTCAAACATATAATAAAAATTTACTTTTTGGTTGATGAAAGCTTGTTTATTTTTTCAATCAGGTCCTCACGAAGCAAAAAAAGATCCCAGCCCTTTTTATTGTACTACCTAAAACAATAAAACATTTTCATGTACCCCTTGCAATGTAGTCGTGGACCATTAGGGGTATGCATACGCCCTGTTGGGAATCACTGCTCTAGATCAGAGGTGTTCAAGTCCAGTCTTCAAGAGCTACCATCCTGTTAGGTTTAGATGCGTCTCTTCTCTAACACACCTGAATCTAAAGGTTCAATCGCCTTATTTAGCCCAGCAGAGTCATGGTAACGAGCCACTCATTTGATTCAGGTCTGTTAAAAATGGGGTGCATCAAAATGTTCATTTCATTTCATTTATTGTTTATTTGAAAGGGGACAGTGTACATTAATCAACATTAAAACAATGTAAATATACCCGAGTTAGCTAAGGAGTGCTAATTTTCATCGGTAGTCCCCCAGCCAGGTATAAAAAAGGCAACCTTAAAAATAAACACAAGTATAGAATCACAAGATAAAATTACAATACCAATTACATAAAAAACATTATGGTTGAGAAATACAATTAATGTAAAATAATTACGTTACCGGAATGTTGCTCTTGAAGACTGGACTGGAGCACCCCTGCTCTAGATGATTGAAAGAGGACACCAGCCTCCATAGCCCTTGTAGTCTAAAATACATTTCTTATTAACAGAACAAAGCTTATCCGATCTACTGAATGACAATGAAAATCCTGAGCGATTAATCAATGTGCCAAAGGAAGAAATACGCTAAAGGCCGGGATGTTACCATGTTTTCAAGTCACAGTACTTCAAAGTAACATCAATATATTCATCCATTCACCCATTTATGCAGACATTCTTGCATTGATGGTGGTACGCTATATTGTAGCCACAGCTGGTTTGGAGCATACTGACAGAAGTGAGGCTGCCGTACCCACAAGAAGCCTCTGACCAGTGGGTGAATAGTGGGGGGGAGCAGTGGGAGCACCCCACCACTCCTGTACAGTACTTAGTGTAAAAACAACAGATACAGAACCTTAAATGAAGCATTTTCACTAAGTACAAGTAAAGTTGCCAATAAAAATTAAGATAAAAAAATACCAGAGAAAATTTTAACTGAAAAAAAAAAAGTGTTCCTTTAAAACTTACCCCGTTACTTATTTGTTAGCAGAAAAAAAAAATCCTTCTTGTCCTTTTGAATAAATGAAAAGACCTTGAACCGTTAATAAATAATTAACAGTTAAAATAAACAGAAGGAGAAACTAAAATCTTGAGAAAAATTTAACAATTTTAGCACCAACAATGGTTTATATTCTAAAATGTTAAATTGCCTGTATTTGTATATCAATTTATTTTTTGCTTCTATTTTGTTATTCATAAACATATTCCTGACAGATGTCAGATTCTTAAGTTTAAAAATGGAAAAATCCCAATAACACACTTATTCCCTTTGTTTCTGGTATTTATACGTAACATCTAGAAACTCCTATTAACAATGATTGAGAAAGAAATTCCTCCATTGGCTGTGGACGCCCTTCAGATAGCTTTACCCGCTGCCCGCCACTGGGCAATTAGGGGGAAGCATCTTGCCCAAGGATGAAGCTGGGATTTGAACCGGCAACCGTCGCTCCTCCTAATATAGGATGTAAATAATAAGGGATTATATATGATAGTGTAATTGTACTAATATCCCTCCTTCCCCTTGCCAGCTCACAGATTTTGGCCTTGCAAGGTTTTCCAGCAGCGTCACACGAGTTTCCAAGAAAGACAGTGAAGAGGAAGGAGGAACTCTCAGCTACATGCCTCCAGAGGCGTTTGAGGTTTCATACGATCCAACAAGGGCCTCTGATATCTACAGGTAGAAAAATCACAGAGCAGTTTTAACTTCGTGAATTAATAATAAAAATGTCTGCTTATTTAGATCGGGTGAGTGAAATAGTCAGTATTCATTGAATTTAAATGAGTGAAAGAGTAAACAGTTGTTGGAGGAAGTAAGAAACATGAGGAAACATGTTTCAGCTAAGTCCTTCCAGTATATGTGATTAAAGAGCTCTTGTGATTTCCTCTTTCATAGAACTGGATCCATTTCTTTAATTACTGATTATATTGTTACAAACTTTATGTTTCAGCTATGGTATACTTCTGTGGTCCATTGTCACAGGAAAACAGCCATATGCAAGTAAGTCAATATTAGGTTACTTACAGTCTGAATTCAGCTTTCAACGCTTTCCTTATTGGGTTTATTTGAAAAAGTAAAAAATAAGGGAGGTTTGGGTTTGGAAAAATGTTTGAAAGCCTTTTTTCCCCCCATTTTTAAACCTAATGGTGACTAACAGATCAGAATTACTTTATTAATACCTTGCAAAAATAATTTTCTTGTATTGTAAAATTACAATAGAGCAAAATCAAACATAAGACAGATTGAAATAAGTAATTAAAATAAGTAAAATGACAACCTTCCCATTTAAACAGTGATACAACTGCAACAGTTTTCAGACTGATGTTAATTCAACAAACTGATGTAGCTGATTTTCACATTATGGCCTATTTAAGTTGTCTTTGACTCACTGACTGACTGACATTCATTTAAAAAAATTACAAAAGCACCCATTTATCTTCATTTATATTTATGTTGCTTTAGCTTTAGGTTAGTTAAATCAACAAGGTTTATATTGCAAATAAAAGCTATAAAAGTGCTATTTTATATAAAATGAAAAGCTTCAAAGTTCACAAAGTGTGCTAAAGAAACGGCATTAATTTAGGATATGCTTCTATTTATTATACAAGATCTAGTGAAATGGATGAAATCAGGAAATCTAAAGCCAATTATAGTTACAATACTGTAGTTAGAAATATACCTAATACTCAAGCAGGTTCTCAGTGTTTATTTTGAACTTAAGTGGTAATCTCTGAGTGGGAAAATACATAAAAAAACCCCACAGTGATCCTACAGACAGTGGGATAGACAGAGCAATCTAAAGCTCAGTCTTAAATGAGTTAGGGTTCACCTTCTTATAGCAGAAATTATATCAAGATATATTTAGATTTAGGATATATTTATTATACATATTTGAATTTAACATGCAGATTTAGCTTTTTGCAGCTAAATGTTAGGCATTGGCACTAAATCTTAAGAAATTTTCCTAAATAACAAAAATGTGTTATTGAAATTATCTTTTTTCTGGTTGTTATAGTTTTACAGTCGGCATCAGCAGTTCAGATGTTATGCTTTGGAGTCGTCAGAAATATTAGACCAGTTACAAACTGCAGCTTATATTCTAAGAATATTATGTAAAAAACTGAGATGTCTGGTTTAAATAAATAAGTTTCAAGGCCAAAAACTATAGTGTTGTGTAAGGGACAGCAGCCTTAGCCTCTTGTGAGAAAATCCGACATTAAAAAGTGCCAAAATAAACCTTTGATGGGAATAAACGGTTTGGCTCAGCCATAATTTAAACTATTAAAAAAAACTTTGGATTATCTTAAACAAAATTAAAGTTCAAACATTACTTAAGAACACATTTCTTTATCAGGGGTTTCCTTGAACTTTTCCAGCCTGTTTGTAAAAAAAGAAGAAAAAAAAATGTGTGTTTTAACTTTAATAGGAAAAGAAGAGGGCATTTTCTTAAAAGATTTTTTTTCTGCCACATAACTTTGACTCTGATCCCTTCCTTTTCTGCAGATGCCAGGTCCACCATAGTGCGTTTACGCATCCCGCAGGGAGACCGTCCGTCTCTAGATGAGATAAGGTGTCAGGCTGCAGGAGTGGCAGGACTGACGACCCTCATCAACCTCATGCAGCGATGCTGGCACACAAATCCCAACCAGAGGCCTTGCTCCCGTGGTTAGTAAAACATAATAACCCTGTAGAAACATTAAATTTAAAGCAGGTCAGCATGTTAACTTGGAAAATTTCCTTTTTTTTTATTAACATTTTTTGTATCAATATAAAAACCCAATCTGAATGAAGCATATGTCCATATAAGACTAATTCAGTTCAGTTTATTTATATAGCGCCAAATCACAACACACGTCATCTCAAAGCACTATACAGAGACAATACAGTTAGATTGGTTTAAAGTTTCTATCAAGGAAAACCAGTTGATTGCATCCAGTTATTGACCTGCAAGACATGGTCCTCCTGGATGAGCTTATGGAGGTGATTTTTGCCTACATTTTTTCATTGGCTCTTCAGCAATCCCTCATACTGAGCATGCATATAGCAAGAGAGGAGAGGAAAACTCCCTTTAACAGGAAGAAACCTCCAGCAGAACCAGGCTCAGTGAAAGCGCCCATCTGCCGAGGCCGACTGGGGTTCAAGAAAAAGAAGCAGAGATAAAAAAGGCAACTGTAAACCAGCTCCACAGGCGGCCCCGTCCAGGAAACACACAACCAGGCACACCAGCTCCGAGCCAACTCCAATGTCACAGGATGAGAACTCATACATTTAGTCACAGTCAGAGAAACAGGACTACACTAAAAAACATGCCAAGCTCCTAATCTAATGGCAGCAGCACAGCTGATGTTTTTTTTCCATGACGGAGTCACAGCTAAACAGGAACAGGCCAGATTAAGCTACTATGGGAAAAAGCAGAGAGAACATAAAGTTATGAGTGAAACTTAACAAATACTGCAGAATGGGAGACCACAGATAGAATAAAGCAGAATGAAAAGTGGCCCCTTTGTGATCCAGAAACCTAAATATATAGCAGCATAAAATATACAATATAACTAAGGATAACCTAACTATTTTGGATGAGGTACGAGAAAGGTAGAGCCACAGTAGGGCCAAGGTAGAGCCAAGGAGAAACATCTCTCCAAACTGAATTATTTTACTCAACCAGGCAAAAGAATTTCCTTGAGATTAAAAGTCTCTTTTCTTTCTCTGGCCAAGATGGCAACTTAACGGTTCCCTTCTGTCCTCATTCCAGGTTGCTGGGGCACGGAATTTTAAAGCTTTTTTGCATCTTGCTGCAGAAACCCACATCAAGATGATTTTCTGAGAATGAATTCATATTGATACAAGTTTTTTTTACACATATGCTCACATAAATATGTATGTAGGAACAAGTCCAAGGATATATCTGTGTAAAAGTGAGGCAGTGGGAGGGGCTACAAGCATTCAAGGATGGAGAATGTATAAGGCACAATGGTAAACAAATACAATGAAAGTTAATCAAACAGAAAAACTGGATAGAGTTGAATTAAACGATAGTTAAAGTGTTTGGTTTGTCCAGTCAGATCAGCCCCTGCAAATATGAATTTTTTGAACATAACATAATTTGGGTTTTTCTTATGTATGTTTATTTTTTATAGAATGCACAACTGAGACAGAAGAATTGCACAAGTTACACAAGCACACAATCCATGATGCCGTCCATCAGGTCCTAAAGAAACTGGTGAGGAACAGATGTGAAGTCAAGCTGACGTGATGAAAAGTTTTAATGTGATGCATCGTATTGTTATGTGGGTCTGCACATTTTTTCCTAAACGGAGCCGCATTTTCTCTTCCTCCTTCTAGGACCAATATGAGGAAGAAATCATTTCTGAGCAGACTACCAGGATTTCCATTTCAGAGAGTGACGGTCAGTTAGATTTATTAATCAAACAATGTCTGTATGTCTGTCTGTCTTGACCTTTTGCTTTCTCTTTTTGTAGTTGTTGCAGCAGTGGCCCCAAGACTCCATGCTTCTCCTGACATTGTGAAGACGGGACCTCCACCGGTTCAGGTGGGATTAAAGAAATTCTGTCAGGAAGACTCTGATCGTTAAATGACCCAGAGTTTAATGCAAGTAGGGTTTATGAACCAAAAAAAAAGATAAAGTAGTTAAAAGTTGCATTTTGTATTTGGACTGGCATCTTTATGGTGAGGATGAGAGAAAGAAAGGCTGATCTTTAAGCCAAAAAAAAAGAAAAACAACACTTTGTGACTCAGACTGGGAAGATATTTCTTTATTGCAATAACTCGGTCAGTCCTCTGGTGTTACTTCACTGCAGGTTTTTTTTTTGCTGCGGTGGTGAACTATTGTGCACATCTCTTCCTGCCTCACTGGAGGGGCTTTCACAGGAAAGAGTGGTGAAGCAAACGTTACAAAAGCTTTTAAGACACATTAAATAATGGCCACAAACTGTTTTTTGTATGAAAGGGAGAACTACAGTTAGAAACCATTTGCTATGGCTCTACAGACCTAATTTCACCTACATGAAATAATCTCTGCAACTCTGCTTGTTCTGTGAAAGCGTTGGTATATGATTCAGAAGCAGTGAGTCATTAGATGGTTTTTGACCAACACTTTAAAGAAGACAGCATTGTTTCATATCAAGGAGCTCTATTCATAGCCGCATTAACCAACAGCTTTACCTTTTGTGCTTCAGGAAATGGTTGGCGGTGAGCGAGAAAATCAAAGACACAATGCACCGGTTGAAAGTAAGTAACTGATAGCTGAAACCACTCAGGGTTAGGGAAATATTATGATTAAAAACATTCATAGATGTTTGATTTTTCAGATTTATCACCTGGCCACGCTAAAATCATGTGTGAAGTTGACTCGGGTCCCTCAGCAACGGCCCAGATAACCAACCAATCCTCTGTAGAACCTATGACGGTGTCCTCCCAGGCTTCCCTGCCACAGCCCACAGCCAAAGCAACAAGGCTGAAGGACATAAAGCAGTCTAATTACCAGGTAAAAGTCTGTCACTAGATACCCTGTAACAAACCGATTCCTAAAAAGCTTTACTGGAAGCCACTTTAATTAGAAAACTTTAGCCAATCATAAAGAGGACAATCTTGAACCTTTTTTAAAAAGGAAGACGGCCATGTTGACAATATTAACCACATGTACAGCTGTAGCTCCAGCTGCATGGTGGCTTTTTTTTTTTTTACTGATATTTTCCCCCTTTTTTGAAAAGAAAATCTGCTTCTACATGATACTGAATTCAAATAAAAAGGTTTTAATGCCAATGATGTACCAGCAGGTGGGGCTAACTGAAGCAATCCATGTAGACACAGTGCAGTTTTTTGTTTATTTAACGACAGCTCTCTATTTCAGACCTCTGCTTTGCTTTTGAAAATGGCAGGTTTTGATTGCTTTTGGATGCGAGGCACAAAATGCAGTAGAAAATCTCTGATTTACTAAATGTTGTAATATCGTGGTTTAGTGTTGACAGATTAAGAGATTGGATTTTAATCCATCAGCTGTCAAGAAATATAAAGAAACTATTGCTGGGTGGTTTGTATCACCAGTAGATTTTATTGTAAATGAGTGTGATCAGTTATCACAAATAATAGAGAATAAAGACTAAAACTATTGGAGGAAAGGATCATCACTAAGTCAGAACCGTAAGGGGAACTTGCAATATTTATCTTTTTTCAGGATATATATGTATAGTTTTTAATCTAACACAGGAAAATATTACATTAGGCTCCCATCTAAAGTAACTCACACCAAAGCAATGCTGGGATGACTAGAAATGACTAAATATCCTGGGTTAATGACTCACTAACTAGTTAATAATTAGCCGTGATCATACAGCAATAGGCAAGGCAAGGCAAGGCAAGGCAAATCATTTGTATAGCACAATTCGGTACAAAGAAAATGCAAAGTGAAAAGCTGTCCAGATCTGGTAAACCCTTTGACCATGCATTTGCCAAAGTACAGTAAGCTGTGTGTCTTTTTAATTGAATATACTGCTTATCAATTTTCTTCCCCTTTTTTTGTTAGGTAGTTAGCAGTTTACCATACAGGTTTCACAATGTTCGCTACAATTTAACAAACACCAGCAAAGAAGTGTTTATACATCGTCACTGCTGTCCTGTTTATATCACTGCTGCCTGTTATTCTGCATTACTGTACGTTGAAAATAACAAAAACAACTTAAAATGTTCAAATTGAATTGAATCATTTTTCTCAAGCTAAAATTTGTTTAAAATAAAAAATAAAAAACCCAATAGATCCATCCAACCACCTCCTTCTGTTCACTCTAACCCTAAGTGAGCAGGATTATGAGGAAAATAAAAGTCCTTTAGCAAATAGATATTTGCAGTCGTGTCCCAGAACTCTGCTGTGGTTTTGAATTCAACAAGACGCTCAGGTGGTTTCAGTGTGAGGCCCAACTATATGTCAAAACACCTTAATGCTGTAAAACAATGAGCACAATTTAGACCATTTATTTCCCCATAATGCTTCAGTTTCTATGTCCATCATATATATATATATATATATATATATATATATATATATATATATATATATATATATATTTATCAATATAGACTTTAAATAAACTATTTTTGGATGGAAAAAAAAGTTTTAAAGACCCAAACTAAGGCTAAAAGTTTAGGAATTTCTACCGAAACTATCATAATAATCTAGTTCAACCTCCAGCTGCTATAAATAACTATTCCAGAGATAGTCTGAGATAGGTGCAGTAGGGTTTAACGCTCAGTTATTTAGAGAGTGGTCTCTGGCTGCAGACCTGCATTTTCAGGACCCAGAGCTGCACTGTGAGGTCTCCTGCACTGTTGGAACCGGAAGTTTATTCGAAGACTTTCAAAGTATAAGCTAAGTTGATCTGAAACCTTTCTAAAGTAAAAGCGAGCGCTGATAAACTCCTCATGAAGCTAGTTTCCTTTCACAAACAACTGTTGTTATGGAAAAAACTCACATGCACATGAATACTCCCCACCAAACTCCTATCTGGAATAATAGATATGTGCTACATAGAAATAAGTCTCTGTATTTGGATTGCTTATTTGGTCTAAAAGACATTTTCTAAATGACAATCGAAGTTGGCTATAGTTAAATACTGTCTTAAACTTTAATCATCCGGAATAAACTTCCGGTCCTAACAGTACAGGAGATCCCATTTTGCAGGTCTGCAACAAAGGATTCTGGCAGTGCAGGTCTGGGTTCTGGCAGTGCAGGTCT